GGTCCTTTACATCCCTTGTAAGTTGGATTCCTAGGTATTTTATTCTCTTTGAAGCAATTGTGAATGGAAGTTCATTCATGATTTGGCTCTCTGTTTGTCTGTTACTGGTGTATAAGAATGCTTGTGATTTTTGCACATTAATTTTGTATCCTGAGACTTTGCTGAAGTTGCTTATCAGCTTAAGGAGATTTTGGGCTGAGACAATGGGGTTTTCTAAATATACAATCATGTCATCTGCAAAGAGGGACAATTTGACTTCTTCTTTTCCTAACTCAATACCCTTTATTTCTTTCTCTTGCCTGATTGCCCTAGCCAGAACTTCCAACACTAGGTTGAATAGGAGTGGTGAGAGAGGGCATCCCTGTCTTGTGCCAGTTTTCAAAGGGAATTTTTCCAGTTTTTGCCCATTCAGTATGATATTGGCTGTGGGTTTGTCATAAATAGCTCTTATTATTTTGAGGTACGTTCCATCAATACCGAATTTATTGAGCGTTTTTAGCATGAATGGCTGTTGAATTTTGTCAAAGGCCTTTTCTGCATCTATTGAGATAATCATGTGGTTCTTGTCTTTGGTTCTGTTTATATGCTGGATTATGTTTATTGATTTGCGAATGTTGAACCAGCCTTGCATCCCAGGGATGAAGCCCACTTGATCATGGTGGATAAGCTTTTTGATGTGCTGCTGAATCCGGTTTGCCAGTATTTTATTGAGGATTTTTGCATCGATGTTCATCAGGGATATTGGTCTAAAATTCTCTTTTTTGTTGTGTCTCTGCCAGGCTTTGGTATCAGGATGATGTTGGCCTCATGAAATGAGTTAGGGAGGATTCCCTCTTTTTCTATTGATTGGAATCGTTTCAGAAGGAATGGTACCAGCTCCTCCTTGTACCTCTGGTAGAATTCAGCTGTGAATCCATCTGGTCCTCGACTTTTTTTGGTTGGAAGGCTATTAATTATTGCCTCAATTTCAGAGCCTGCTATTGGTCTATTCAGGGATTCAACTTCTTCCTGGTTTAGTCTTGGAAGAGTGTAAGTGTCCAGGAAATTATCCATTTCTTCTAGATTTTCTAGTTTATTTGCGTAGAGGTGTTAATAGTATTCTCTGATGGTAGTTTGTATTTCTGTGGGGTCGGCGGTGATATCCCCTTTATCATTTTTTATTGCGTCTATTTGATTCTTCTCTCTTTTCTTCTTTATTAGTCTTGCTAGCGGTCTGTCAATTTTGTTGATCTTTTCAAAAAACCAACTCCTGGATTCATTGATTTTTTGGAGGGTTTTTTGTGTCTCTATCTCCTTCAGTTCTGCTCTGATCTTAGTTATTTCTTGCCTTCTGCTAGCTTTTGAATGTATTTGCTCTTGCTTCTCTAGTTCTTTTAATTGTGATGTTAGAGTGTCAATTTTAGATCTTTCCTGCTTTCTCTTGTGGGCATTTAGTGCTATAAATTTCCCTCTACACACTGCTTTAAATGTGTCCCAGAGATTCTGGTATGTTGTATCTTTGTTCTCATTGGTTTCAAAGAACATCTTAATTTCTGCCTTCATTTTGTTATGTACCCAGTAGTCATTCAGGAGCAGGTTGTTCAGTTTCCATGTAGTTGAGTGGTTTTGATTGAGTTTCTTAGTCCTGAGTTCTAGTTTGATTGCACTGTGGTCTGAGAGACAGTTTGTTATAATTTCTGTTCTTGTACATTTGCTGAGGAGTCCTTTACTTCCAATTATGTGGTCAATTTTGGAATAAGTGTGATGTGGTGCTGAGAAGAATGTATATTCTGTTGATTTGGGGTGGAGAGTTCTATAGATGTCTATTAGGTCTGCTTGCTGCAGAGATGAGTTCAATTCCTGGATATCCTTGTTAACTTTCTGTCTCGTTGATCTGTCTAATGTTGACAGTGGAGTGTTGAAGTCTCCCATTATTATTGTATGGGAGTCTAAGTCTCTTTGTAAGTCTCTAAGGACTTGCTTTATGAATCTGGGTGCTCCTGTATTGGGTGCATATATATTTAGGATAGTTAGCTCTTCCTGTTGAATTGATCCCTTTACCATTATGTAATGGCCTTGTTTGTCTCTTTTGATCTTTGATGGTTTAAAGTCTGTTTTATCAGAGACTAGTATTGCAACCCCTGCTTTTTTTTGTTCTCCATTGGCTTGGTAAATCTTCCTCCATCCCTTTATTTTGAGCCTATGTATGTTTCTGCATGTGAGATGGGTCTCCTGAATACAGCAGACTGATGGGTCTTGACTCTTTATCCAGTTTGCCAGTCTGTGTCTTTTAATTGGAGCATTTAGTCCATTTACCTTTAAGGTTAAGATTGTTATGTGTGAACTTGATCCTGCCATTATGATATTAACTGGTTATTTTGCTCGTTAGTTGATGCAGTTTCTTCCTAGCCTCGATGGTCTTTATATTTTGGCATGTTTTTGCAATGGCTGGTACCGGTTGTTCCTTTCCATGTTTAGTGCTTCCTTCAGGGTCTCTTGTAAGGCAGGCCTGGTGGTGACAAAATCTTTAAGCATTTGCTTATCTGTAAAGGATTTTATTTCTCCTTCACTTATGAAACTTAGTTTGGCTGGATATGAAATTCTGAGTTGAAAATTCTTTTCTTTAAGAATGTTGAATATTGGCCCCCACTCTCTTCTGGCTTGGAGAGTTTCTGCCAAGAGATCTGCTGTTAGTCTGATGGGCTTCCCTTTGTGGGTAACCCAACCTTTCTCTCTGGCTGCCCTTAAGATTTTTTCCTTCATTTCAACTTTGGTGAATCTGGCAATTATGTGTCTTGGAGTTGCTCTTCTCGAGGAGTATCTTTGTGGCGTTCTCTGTATTTCCTGGATTTGAATGTTGGCCTGCCCTGCTAGGTTGGGGAAGTTCTCGTGGATGATATCCTGAAGAGTGTTTTCCAACTTGGTTCCATTTTCCCCCTCACTTTCAGGCACCCCAATCAGACGTAGATTTGGTCTTTTTACATAATCCCATACTTCTTGCAGGCTTTGTTCATTTCTTTTTCTTCTTTTTTCTTTTGGTTTCTCTTCTCGCTTCATTTCATTCATTTGATCCTCAATCACTGATAATCTTTCTTCCAGTTGATTGAGTCGGTTACTGAAGCTTGTGCATTTGTCACTTATTTCTCATGTCATGGTTTTCATCTGTTTTATTTCGTTTATTACCTTCTCTGCATTAATTACTTTAGCTATCAATTCTTCCACTTTTTTTTCAAGATTTTTAGTTTCTTTGCACTGGGTACATAATTCCTCCTTTAGCTCTGAGAAGTTTGATGGACTGAAGCCTTCTTCTCTCATCTCATCAAAGTCATTCTCCGTCCAGCTTTGATCCGTTGCTGGCGATGAGCTGCGCTCCTTTGCCGGGGGAGATGCGCTCTTATTGTTTGAATTTCCAGCTTTTCTGCCCTGCTTTTTCCCCATCTTTGTAGTTTTATCTGCCTCTGGTCTTTGATGATGATGACGTATTGATGGGGTTTTGGTGTAGGTGTCCTTCCTGTTTGATAGTTTTCCTTCCAAGAGTCAGGACCCTCAGCTGTAGGTCTGTTGGAGATTGCTTGAGGTCCACTCCAGACCCTGTTTGCCTGGGTATCAGCAGCAGAGGCTGCAGAAGATAGAATATTGCTGAACAGTGAGTGTACCTGTCTGAATCTTGCTTTGGAAGCTTCCTCTCAGGGGTGTACTCCACCCTGTGAGGTGTGGGGTGTCAGACTGTCCCTAGTGGGGGATGTCTCCCAGTTAGGCTACTCAGGGGTCAGGGACCCACTTGAACAGGCAGTCTGTCCCTTCTCAGATCTCAGCCTCCGTGTTGGGAGATCCACTGCTCACTTCAAAGCTGTCAGACAGAGTCGTTTGCATCTGCAGAGGTTTCTGCTGCTTTTGTTGTTGTTTAGCTGTGCCCTGTCCCCAGAGGTGGATGGAGTCTACAGAGACAGGCAGGTTTCCTTGAGCTGCTGTGAGCTCCACCCAGTTCGAGCTTCCCAGCGGCTTTGTTTACCTACTTAAGCCTCAGCAATGGCGGGCGTCCCTCCCCCAGCCTCGCTGTTGCCTTGCGGTTAGATCGCAGACTGCTGTGCTAGCAATGAGGGAGGCTCCCTGGGCATGGGACCCTCCCGGCCAGGTGTGGGATATAATCTCCTGGTGTGTGGGTTTGCTTAAAGCGCATTATTGGGGTGGGAGTTACCCGATTTTCCAGGTGTTGTGTGTCTCAGTTCCCCTGGCTAGGAAAAGGGATTCCCTTCCCCCTTGCACTTCCCAGGTGAGGCGATGCCTCGCCCTGCTTCAGCTCTCGCTGGTCGGGCTGCAGCAGCTGACCAGCAGTGATTGTCTGGCACTCCCTAGTGAGATGAACCCATTACCTCAGTTGAAAATGCAGAAATCACCAGTCTTCTGTGTAGCTCGCGCTGGGAGTTGGAGACTGGAGCTGTTCCTATTCGGCCATCTTGCTCTGCCCCTCACATTACTTATTAATTACAAATGAATTAACTACTTTTACACTGGAGAAATATGGAAGATGCCACCTTAATCGAGTTACCACACTTAGAATTACCAATAATGAGACAAACTGACATTATGTAGCTTTTGATGGAGTGCAGTGGGATGAGCACAACATCACTTATGTAGTATACTTGCCAAACATCTTTTACCTGAATCTAATAAAGAGATATTAATCAGACACATCCACATTATAAGATCTGCTACCTCAAATAGCATATACTCTAAAAATATCAACGTTTTAAAAAACAAAAAAGGGTATATGTGTGTGGAGGGAATGTTCCAGAACAAAGGAGACCAAAAAGATATAACAAGCAAATTCAATGCTTGAGCTCAGATTGGATTATGAATCAGAAAATGAACAAAGAGCTATAAAAGACATGATTGGGATAATTGTGAAAATTTAGACATGTAATGTATATTAGATAATAGGTCTATCAATGATAAATTTCTTGGTTATCATATGGTATTATGGTAATATACAATAATGCTGTCATATGTAATCTATTTAGAGTTGAAGTGAGAGAAAGAAGGATGCGGAGAGAGGGAAGGAAGGAGGGGGAGAGAGAGAACTTAAATGTGGTAAGATGTTAATAATTGATTAATCTAGATGAAAATTATACAGATGTTCATTGTGCACTCTTACAACTTTTCTACAGGGTTGAATTTTTAGAATTAATATGCTAAAACAGAGCAACAGCAACTCTTTGTGTAGCAATATAGAACAATGTATGTGCTTAGAACTGTGAACTCAAATTGGCATGAAGTTAACCTCACATGCAGTTAAGCTACCCTGGGCCAAACGTACATATCCCTTGCTTAATAAAAGAGATGTGCACTATAAATTGGCTGCAAAGTGGATTGTGGTAGTTGATCCTGTTTTCTCACTGGTTTCCATTAAAAAGTGGGGAATAAGGTCTAATAGATAGAGGTGAAAAGGTTTGCTAAGAGAAGGGTTTCCCATGAACTGTCACTCTATGGCATGCATCCCTGGGGGTATTTGTAAGAGTTTTAGGTAGACATTTTCTTGGTTACATACTTTGATTCCCCTAGTGTTTTCTTCAGTTTCCTCTTGCTAAGGTAATGTGTTCTGCTGTGCTTGGAGGTTTCTAATCGCCCATCCCCACCTACTTATAGCAGCCCCTTGGACAGTGTTCCCAGCAGGTCTCTCCTCTCACCAGGTCTAGGAGGAATAGGCTGCCATGTCACTCATTGTCAGTAAGCGTCAGTGATCAACAGCTTTAACATTCCCTAAGTCTGAAGCTTCAGGGTCTGGAGAAGATATCAGTAATCTATCTTATCAATCCTGTGAACTAAAATTCATTTAATGTATTTAAAACCAAAGGATACTTTTAGAGAAATTAACATTCTGGGTCTTTCACATTGCACCCATAGGTAACACCTCAAATGGCCTTGGATTATTCAAAAACAATATTGGAAACTAGAAAAAGATAGAGCAAGGACTTTAACATTCTAAGGGAAAATAATTTTCAGTTTGGGATTCTATACCCTCCTAAACTACTAAGTGTGAATGCGGAATAAAGTTATTGTTTTAAATTCACAGCAGAAGAGGGGTGGGGAGGGGAGGCAAAATATATTTGTGAAAGAGAGTTAAAACTTTACCTTCTGTTAGAGAAAGTCAATAGAAAATGCTTACAACTGAAAAAAAAAAAAAAGTCAGGAAGAAGTAACATAGAGACATAGCAGTAGATATCAAGAGAAAAAACTAAAAGAGGTAAAAGCAGTTGCCCCAGAGTGGAAATTGGGAGTTAGGAGTGGAGGTTGGATGAGTCAGCATTCTCTGGAGGGACAGAACTAATAGGATCGGTGTATATAAAGAGGAGAGTGTATTAAGGAGTACTGACTAGCATGATCACAAGGAGAGGTCCCACAATAGGCCATCTGCAAGCTGAGGAACAAGGAAGCCAGTCTGAGTCCCAATACCTAAAAAGTAGGGAAGCTAACAGTGCAGCATTCCATCTGTGGTGGAAAGTCCAAGAGTAGAAGTTGGAGTCCAATGTTCAAGGGCAGGAAGCATCCAGCATGGGAGAAAGACATAGGCTGAGAGACTAAGCCAGTCTAGTCTTTCCACGTTCTTCTGCCTGCTTTTATTTTGACCACACTGGCAGCTGATTAGATGGTGCCCACCCAGATTGAGGGTGAGTCCACCTTTCCCAGTCCACTGACTCAAATGTTAATCTCCTTTGGCAATGCCCTCACAGACACACCCAGGATCAACACTTTGCATCCTTCAATCTAATTAAGCTGACACAAAATATTAACCATCACAGAGGTGGAGCAGGATACTCCTGTAGAAAGGGAGTATATATGTTTTATAAGGTTTGTAGAAATATTTCATACTTAATCTTTGTGCATATAAAGCTTGGATCTATATAAGAACTAAAAAGTTAGGGATGGGGAAGAAGAAAATAAAGAGGAAAGGGAGGAGGAAAGGGAAGAGATTAAAGCAGAGGAAGAGTAGGAGGAAAAGAAAGAGGAGGGAGAGGAGGAAGAAGAGAAAGAGGAGGAAAAATTAAAAGGAAAATGCACTGGGGCTTGTGTTTGGGAGAATGACTCAGTTCAGCATTTTCCTCTGAGACTCAGCTTCCATGTTTCTAAGATAGGGAAAATGGTATCTCCTTTGGTGGGTTTTTATGATAATTACATGTTCCTGATAAAAAGTAAGTCTTCAATCAATATTTGTTTCAATGATTTCTCCTTTTGTTTAGAATGAATGAGAGACTTAAAAAGTGGAAATTCTAACAATGGAAAAATTCATTTATTAATTCATTCCTTATTCACTTAACACTAGTGTCCAAGACTGATGATCCTGAATAACAATGCCAAGGAAGCCAATCAACTCACAGATCACTTTCACCTCTGTTTGTTTGCCCACATTTTCAGGTTCCCAGTGTGCAAGGAACGTGTTCTGCCAGAGAGTAGCTTTCTTGCAGGTGCTCTTTCTATAGGGAGCGACCCTGAAGGGTTTTGTCCTTACATTTTCTTGTCTGGGGCACCTAGTGTGGAAGATGAAGAAGTGAAAATGTAGTTTGGGAAGGGACATAGGATTATCTGAGAGAGGACAGGGTGGCCATTTTCCATGGCCAACTCTCTACCCTCCTCAGCAGCTGCACATTTCCAGGATACCAGGGCTGTATCTTCCTTGGGTCTTTGAAGTTATTTTCTTGCCCAGAGAAAGTTGATTGAAGTTTTGTCCCCTCAGTATCTGGAAGCAGCATAGTCTTCAGAATTATTTCACGTGCCTCCACTTTTCTAATAGCACAGTTCTTTCTTGTAGTCCATTTTTAATTAAACTAATACCCCACTGTCTACCAGAAAATAGCAATGATGGGAATCAATAGTGCTGGTTGATGCATGGCCAGCACTACTCCAGGAAGCCTGAGCCTGGGATGAGCACTGTCCTCAGTGCAAGCACTCTGAGAAGTCGCCCTGCACACCAAACACTTGAACCACTTGTTGCTTTTCCTTGGTCCCCTTGTAGCTATCTGGAGGAAGTATAGTCATCTGGACAGGGTCTAGATGGTGCATTTGACATCCTTGCCTGACTGTCCTGGGTTTGCAGTCAACCCCCTTCAGGAAAAAAGAAGCCACCTGTGAAGTGAACACACATTAAATATTTTGTGGTGGTTTCTCTTTTGCAAAATACATGAATAGCTTAGACCTAGCAAATTCATGTGGGGTTTTATGGTGTGTCTGCATGTATTGCTTGTACATTTTTTATATTCACTTGCCAGAGGAGCTGTACGCTGGAGTTCTGGGGACATAGATTGTTTGAAATCAATAAATAAATTCTAAATTGTATTTTCACTGGTAGCTTCACCCTCTTGCTTGGCTGCACCTTTCATCACTGAGGCTCCCAAGGACTAAAGCAGCCAGATGGTTCTGGGCATTACAAGTTGCTGCAGGGTGGCTGGAGGAAACCTCAATAATACGTAATTTTGTCCCTGAAAGCTGAGCTGGGCTTTAAACGCTTGCTTACCTGCACTGATAAGGAAGGCCATAGGGGAGGATGACTTCCTTTCAGAGGAGTGAGGATGGATGGCTGGTTTCTCTTACTCCGAGATTAGATCAGTAAGGCCTGGGCTAGGGGATTTACTATGGAAAAAGGCCAGATGTGAAACAGTGGGAAAAAAGCATAGACAGAACTAGAAGGCATGCAAATGAAAGAGAGCAGGTACACTGGATTCGTGAAGGAGGCAGCAAGAATTTGCAGGAGGAAGTGAGTGTGATTTTAAATCGGAATGGGGACTTCTGAATCTGGTGAGAAGGGGACTTCTGAATCTGGTGAGAAGGAAGGCAATGTAAATCTTAGAGAGAATGCTTTCAATGGAATGTCGGAGACTGAATCCAGATGATGTGGCATTGATGAGGGAGGAGGTGATAAGGTAATGGAAGCTGTAATATGCAACTGAGGATGATGCCAACTCCTATTACTTTGTAGTGATGGCCTAGAGCTCTTTGCTGAGCAGGTTGTTTCTAGGTGACTCTGGAGAGAGTGCTGTGATTGATTACTTAGGTCTGCTGTGTGCATAGGAGTCAGTGTTGGTATGGTTGCCATCTACATGCCATCCTTCATAGAGATTCAAGAATCTGGTAACTCACACTGTTATCTTAGTGTGGCCTATCCTTTCCTGTCCTCCTGTTTTTACTTAAGATTGATATTCATAATATCTCACAACTAATCCATGACTAATCACTGCAGACACTTGGCTATAAACAACCGGTTGCCTGGAGTGTGTGTACTACAAAATATCAGCCCTGCTGTTGCTCATGCCATTTACTCTGCCTGGAGCATCCTTTCCCTGTGTTCATCTACTGAACTGCACTCATTCTTCAAGCCCTCTTCAAATGTCATCCCCTCAAGGTGGCATTTTCTTTAAACTTTGCTCTTTTCCTATGTTCCCATGGCACTTTGTGCATATCTGGATTCTAGCACTTCCAACACTTTAATGCTGCAGTTGTGTGTTTATGTGCTTGTAGCTTCCTGTAGCTGGGAAGCTACTTGTGAGCAGCAAGGGTGCCTCCCCAGATGAGGCAGTCAATAAATGGTAAAAGGACAGGCATCTTAGGAACCTGGTTCATCTCTGAGTCATCCAAGGCAAGCAGAATGCCCAGTACATAATTGGCACTCAGTAAATTGCCCCTCTTGCCTAGCAAGTATAGGCTCTCATTAAATACACACATATATGTGTGTGTGTGTATGTATGTGCGTGTATATATATATATATATATATATATATATACACACACATATATATATATATATTTTTTTTTTGCGATTGGGTCTTGCTCTGTCACCCAGGCTGAAGTGCAGTGACATGATCATGGTTCACTGCAACCTCCACCTTCCAGACTCAGGTGATCCTCCCACCTCAGCCTCCTGAGGAGCTGGGACTACAGGTGCACACCACCATGCCTGGCTAATTTTTTTGTATTTTTTATAGAAATGGGGTTTCACCATGTTGCCCTGGCTGGTCTGGAACTCCTGGGCTCAAGCAATCCACCTGCCTCAGCCTCCCAAAGTTCTGGGATTACAAGCATGAGCCATCACGCCCAGTGATGACCTGATTTATTTGTGATCAGGATTTTGGTTTTTCTTTTCAATAAGAAAAATATGAATATGTTTGAGGGCAGAATAAAATGCTTGTTACTCAATAGAACTTCAGTGAGTCAGGAGTGTGCCCAGGGCTATTCGGTCCAGAGGGGCAGAATTACCTGGAAAAGAGGTCTTTGCTCTGCAATTCCTTCTCAGACCCTGTGCACCGTATTCTCTGTCCTGCAGCTGTTGGCTCTGATCCTACCTTTGCTTGGGTGTATGGAGGGATCCTGTCATCATTCATTTACTTAGCACATACTTACTGAGCACTTACTATGTGCAGGCTCTGGGGCACATGCCCTGGACCTCAGGAGCTCAACAGGAAAGGAGACTGTGGAAAGGCAGAACTTCATGATATAGAAGGAAACCTATTCAGTGTTTGCCTTTATATGCTCAGGCCAGGAGAGAGAAGAACCCAGTACAAATCATTTTTTAAAAGATAATGTCAAAATGGTAAAACAGACTAAATGAACCTATGCTGTTGGAATTCAGTGTCATGGTTATCCTTAGTTGGGTAGTGGTGGAAGGGAGAACTAGGGGTTTCTGGAGTGCTGGGAATGATTTGACTGGGGTGATTGCTGTATGGGGGTGTTAAGCTTGAGAAAATTCATCGAGTTGTACAGGTGCATTTGGTGCACTTGTCTGTACGTACATTTACATCAACAAAACGAGGCAAAAAGATGATGCCTGAAAATACAGTTGGAACTATCACAGAAGGTCGTGAAGCTTTCTCATAATCCACAGGGAATCCTGTTGCATTGTAGTAGTTTTGACTCAAAATTAGGAAATCTTTTCTTACTGTCAGACTCACACACAAGTGAACTCATCTTCTTGGGAGCTTATTTTATTAGTGGCTGAACACATAGTGCCTAGCACAGGGCCTGGCCTGAGCAGGCGCCATGGAATCTTTGTGAAATGGTGGGATGGATGAACACCTGCAGGCTATAGCATCCCTGCAAGGATTCAGGTGCAGGTAAAACTGGAAATTGCAGTGGAGGTGGCACCTGATTAGATTGTCTTTGATAATGATCAGAGCAACAGCTATTCTCTGTCAAGCAACAACAGTGAGCC